CTTTGAGATCTAACTCAAGAACTTCCCAACAAAGAAATCATACAAATTAGGCTTACTTACAAACACCTTAGTTCAAGGCTTGGTGGAACAGCCAGGTCTTTAAGGCCTTACAGAAGGCCAACAGGGTCAGGGCCATCCAGATCTTGGGAGTAATGATGTTCCATAGGACAGATGCCATGACAGAGAAGGCACGTTTCCTGGGTCCCATCAGATCACAGTGTTTCATAGAAGGGGCCTGGAGCATGCCCACTTGGTCAGTTCTGGTGGGATACGCAAAAACAATTGGAGATAGGTGGTCCTGCAGATTTTCTGCTTCTGTGCCAAGTGTAGAGCTACCACCTCCAAAGCAGAAAAGGCACCACTAGATGGAGCAATAGTTTGAACCCAGCATAAGGCAGCTTTGCACATTTCCCCTCCTACACTTCCCCCTTTTCCCCCAGAAATCCTCCCAGCTAGAAAAGAAGGAGAGTACAGTACGGAGGAAGGATTTCTGCAGGAAATTGCTTCTAACTTAGTGCTTCATAACTACAGTATTAGAAGGAACCAAATTCCAGGTTCTTCTCTTAGCCTCAGCTTTCCTCCCTGACTCTTCATTACTGAATTGATCAAACTCGCCTTCCCCCAAGGTGGCAAGTAAGGATTATGGAGATAATGAACATGGGAATCCTTGAAATGTATTTTCTGCATGCAAAGCTTTATTTTGTGTTTCAGTATTGGCGGAGATATTGGTGAAAGCACTGGGGATCCTGTATTCAAAAACCTATTTTAGAGGTACCCTTTCTTCAAGAGTAACAGTTTAAATTATCCTCAAGGCCTTTGGGAATGGGTGGCATACAAATGAAGTAAATAAACTAACAAATTAATTAATAAGTACGTACATCAATCAATAAATACACCCTTCCTTTTTGAGCTGGCAATACAACACAAACATGTTTTTGAGGTTTGGTCAATGCTACATTTTTGTGTTTGTGTGTGTTTTCTGGCTGCTTTCTTCTTGCAAAGCTCTGAAGTGTCATTATTCATCTAGCACATCATTGCTTGTACCCCCTTAGAGTAATGCAAGGTTATGACTCATAAATTACTTTGCTGTAGTGACCTGATGGATGGGAAGCAAGCTCCTTTCTATCAAACTAATGCATTTTTGTTCCTTAAAAAAAAAAAAGATCTAAATTTTGGATGATGCTTCAAGGATGGACTGGTTGAATATTGATCAGTATAAACAGCAGACAACAAAACTCCTTAAATCTTTTGTGTTCATTTTTTATATTTGAAGTAATGCAAGAAGGATTTATAACCAATAGCAGTCTTGCTGGGGAGGCGAGACCCTGCGAAAAGAATTGGCCCATTGAATTTCCTACAAGGCTCAGGAGAGACATTCAGTGAAATATGTTCATGGTTAGTCTTGTGGCACATGAACCGGTGGACTAGCAGTACAAATAAACATAGCATGTAATGAATAAAGCATATGTCCTTTGCATTGAGACATATCAGCAATGGCCCTCTGGGTTACCATTAAAACAGAAATTATTCAGAGTTAATGCAGAAGACCAGCAGCCAGATGTCTCAAAACAGCACAGTGAAATTGTAGCCAGAGTGACTGTTTATGTAGGTTGAAGCTGTCAGACTGAAACTGTGAGCCGGGGGATAAAAGGATTTTGAAATTCCTGCCCAAATCTATATATAACTGAATCACAGAGCCCATGTTTTCACATCAGGGGTTGTGGTTTGATACCTGAATTGTATAGAATCAAAAGCCCGCCCCCCCCCCAAAAAAAAGTTGCTTGCTTTGTATGGCTAGCAGCCATTTCTGGCATGTTTTAAATTGAAAACTGGTTGGGCAGAGACAGGCATTCATCAGGAGCCTGCTGCAAAAAGGAAAGGGCTACCCTTCTCTCCTTTCTGCAATCCTGACAAAAATAGCTCTTGCTTACATAACATTAGTTTTGGCACAAAGCAGACTTTTTTCCCCCTAATGCTAATTTATTTATGTATCTGATTAAATTTTTATACCATCAAGTGCCACAGTCTCATAGGAGTATAAATCTCCCCTCCATGTGCGCTGTGCTCCTGATGAAATCCCCCTCCCAACATAGCTTTAAATTTAATAAAGAACCACGTTACGATATGATTATTAGCTACACAATCCAGAGCAGATTAGGCTGCCTGATTCTTGCTAGCTGAGGGCCAAAGACTGTGTTCAGCAGCACGGCAAACTTCAAAGAGAAGCTTGGCTCTTTGAAGCTGCTAAAATGAATGTCTGAGCACATCTGCAGGATGCTCAATGCTGGTTAGGGTTAGATTTGTTAATGGGTGAGCTGCACAGTGACAGTTCTACCCTGAGGTCCCCGAGAGTTACAAGTGCTCTGATTAGTGTAGTTCCTACTCCCCAACTCAATGCTGTGCTGTCAGATACAGAATATCTGTTAGATGACAAGGAAGGAGAATTTAGTTTATGGATTCATGCTCTTCTGTTGACTAACATTGTCTTATCTCTGGGTGTCTGATGCAGAAGCTTATCTTGGGAAGCAGTCGGCAACTTTTTGCCCTTCAGATGTTTATAAAGGGCAAGTACACGTGACAGATCCCTGAGAGTTCCTGATCGGGGCTTATGGGGAATTGTAGTCTAAAATATTGGAAGGTTGCCTAATAGTGGTCATTTCATGTAACAAAGCCATGATCTCTGAGCCAGCAAGTTGTAATATCAGGGTCACATGACTTTAAAATAAAAAGTAACTAATTGGAACGGCTCTTTTGCAATGATGGGAAAGGTTGCATTCTTAATCAGACATTCTGTAAATTTTATTATGTTTTCAAAAAAAAGTTAAAATACAGAAAAATCAAGAAAAAGGAAGGGGAAAAAAGCGGGGGGAAGGAAGGGGGCATAAGAAAGAAAGAGTAGCTTCCGACTTTCCTTGGTACAGGTATAGATACAGAACATATCCGTCTCTTACTCTAATATCTAAAAGTTTACATAGTAAAAATAGTTTTTAATCTAATATTCAAGAAGATTCCTAAAATCAATCTATTTGGGTAATGCATATCATTTGTACAAGAGCGGGGGGAAGGAAGGGGGCATAAGAAAGAAAGAGTAGCTTCCGACTTTCCTTGGTACAGGTATAGATACAGAACATATCCGTCTCTTACTCTAATATCTAAAAGTTTACATAGTAAAAATAGTTTTTAATCTAATATTCAAGAAGATTCCTAAAATCAATCTATTTGGGTAATGCATATCATTTGTACAAGATATTTCTATAACATCAATCAGCAAATCCCAAAATCAAAGTTGGACTTTTTTGAGTATCAAGCAAAAAGTCTAAGAGTGGTTTCCAATTAGAGGCAAAGTTAGTGCCCTGCCTTTGAGGAGGGTGGTGAGTTTCACCAGCTCCACCAATTCCATTAATTTCAATATCCATTTTTCAACAGTAGGTATTTGTAAATCCTTCCATTTTTGCACGTATAAGAGTCTTGCTGCAGTTATCATGTAAAGAAATAAATTTCTCTGTTGTCTTTCCATTTGTTTATCCATCATACCTAAAAGAAAAGCCTCTGGTTTCAATTGCAAGTCTATTTTCAAAATTGTTTGAAATAAAATACGTATCATATTCCAATATTTCTTAGGCTTTTCACAAGTCCACCATAAGTGATAGAATGTACCTTCACATAGGTTACATTTCCAACAAACAATTCAGTTTCTTATTCAGACATTCTGAATAGTTGCTTTTAAAATACATGTTGATTAAATTAGATGTGCAGATAACTTCTCAATGTTAGGTAAACAGCACCTTGCAAATTTGCAAAGACAGAGGATGTGGAAACCAGATCTAATTAACACAGTCACCTGCTTCTCTAGTGCGGTTAGAAATGTGTTTCATTTCTGCCAGCTTTGTCGCTCAGCAGCCACCCAGGAAAATTTACGCCTCATTTTTTCAGAAATCCCAGTCAAGCAATCAGTAAAAATGTGAACCATACTTAATTTAGAAAAATGGATTCCTTACATTCCCTTCTTTTTCAAAAAAAGGTATTCTATCCAAACTACATATAACAATATTGGGCCTGTTGATGACAAAAAGATTTCTTCCATCTTCTGTTTAAATCTTATTGAATAACAATAGGAGACTGGAGAAAGAAAACACAACACTGGAAAAACAGAGCCTATTCACAGAATGGACAGAATTTTTGTGGAATAGGGGAAACAAGTAGTATTGATGAGGGCTGTCTTTTGTTTAAAAAGTAGTAGAATACGGATCAGTGAAGGACAGGAAGGCCTGGCGCAATATGGTTCATGGGGTCACGAAGAGTCGGACACGACTTAACGACTAAACAAAAAAAGAATACGGATAGATCCAGCTTATTTTAGCTCTTAGACAATGAAGCCTGTCTCAGTGAAGCTATAAATACTGGACCTTCCCCTGTTTTTCCACTTTTTCATTTGCTCCAGGTATGGATTTGGAGGGCAACTGGCCAGGGTATAAAGGGTTAATTTCCGTGTAAATATGGATAGCCACCGAATAGAATGTGCATGAGCAACACCAGCATCAACAGTGCAGGTGATAGAACTGCCTGGTCCATGACTGCGTTCCAAACAAACAGTTGTTGCTTACCTGCACTTATCTGCCTCCCATGTTTTTTGTGGGTTTAAATAGCTCTGATTGCATTTTGGATGCCCTTGATCATTATCAATAGTGGTTAGTCTTTGTATATTCCCATCCCTGGCCTGATTAGGTCTTTCCTGCTGCAAGTTTTCTTTCCATGTAGGCGGTATTAATTTCAGAAAGTCAGTCCTGTTTGCCTCTCTTTCCTGCTCAACTTTCCAGGATTATTTTGGGAGTCAACCAGGTTGCTTTGTCTTTGTTATCAGCCACCTTGAAACAAACGCCAAAAATCAGGCAGCATGGCCTGGAGTGCATTCCATATCGCATGCTGCTATGTTTACCCGTGTTTGCCAAACATCAGTTTTGGGTGAGGAGGTATTTAAGAGATGTCCATTTGATTTGCAGGAGCCCGGGTCAATGCCAAGGACAACATGTGGCTGACTCCTCTCCACCGAGCTGTTGCTTCAAGGAGCGAAGTGAGTAATATAGCCAATGCTTCAGCAATATGCGCTTCACAAGTTTCAACTTTAAAAAAAGGGCGCACTGCTGTTATTTCATCCCTTATACACACATCCATAAAAGAACAATTCAAAATAATTATGTAATTCCAAGTTCAGTTCCTTGAATAATGGGCCACCATGTGTTTTTAATGTATTTATTTAGTAGTCAACTGGACTCAGGGAATCCAGGCTGTGAAGCAGACTGATTGGGTTGGGGGGCAGGAGGAAGGAAAGGAGGAAGAGGGTATATGCTGCATGGGAGGTCATGTGGTATGACAGTCATTATTGTGTCTGCTGCATCCTATGTGGTCAACTGATTCCTGTAGGCCAGGAAGATACAGCTCACCTGTATCTGTAAGGCCCTATAAACATTCTGTCTTGCTGTCTGCTGTAGACTTCGAAAGGGCACGGGTCTGTACATAAGTTAGATTGCAACAGAAAGTATACAAGCTTCCTTACATTAACCATTTTGTGCCTAATTGGAAATATGGTAACCGTCCCCCAGGATTCCTTGTGGCTCTGGTATTCATTGCATTGTATTCTTTGACCTGCGGATCATCTTTATCTATGACATAAAGGAATAAATGATGAGTTTAACCTAAAAAATCTTTAGGATGCATAGCTTGTGTGGTTCAGATGCACGTACCTGATTTATTTAATGGATTTGTACCAAGTCAAATATGGCTCTATAGAGTTCCTAATAGGAAGCATAAATACAGGAAATGCAAACACTTGCTTGGGAAGAGAAATAGAATTAACAGTTAATATCACATGCTGATCCAGAATTTCTTTAGTCCTATTAATCTTGGCCTTAGTAATAAATATTCACCAATTTTCATTATTGCTAGCAAGGAAACTGATGGATATGTATTTGAAAGTTTTAACATTTCCAGAGGCTTGGAGTAAGAGCATAAATGTCTTGAAGAAACAGAAGCTGAAGTTTTCTTTGTTGCATAATTATGAATCCAGTAATTGTATTGGATCCCAGCATTCATTTTGCCAAAACAACTGGAGAGAAGTTCCATTACCCTCCCTTTACTTTCTTTGGTCACAGCGGCAAAGGCTAGTGGATAAGCTGCAAATAAATACCACTTAAAAGTAGCAAGTCTAAGAGAACTGTTTGGCAGTGTAATTACAAAACACATTAACTGAATCAGTTAAACCCAGCCATATATTAGACAGTGCAGTTGCCTACATTGCCTTAGGTGGCAGGAACTGAGAGATATTCCCCTTAGTAACACCCCCAATTCCTTATTTCTTTGAAAGTTGCACAACCTGTCTTGTACTTTCTAAACTAGCTTGATGTTGTCAGGGTTGCTGAGCAGTGCTGTCTTGTTAACAGTGTTAAAATAAGATTCCCTACATCGGGTGAAATAAGGAAGTGAGCCACAATTTATGATCTCTATTTTGGTGCAAGGAAAGAAAACATGAAGCAAAATATCGTGAGCCAGCCTTGCTTGCAGACCAATTTATTTCCTTGTATTAGGCGTGTTTTACAAGTGCACAAGTTGTGTTGCAAGAAAGGGAAATGGCTCCAAACCATATATTTGGAAAAGTAGGAGAAACTGTAGAGAATGCTTTGTAGTTGTTTTAGTCTATAGTAGCTAAAAATCAGGAGGAGTTTGGTAGCATCTTTTCCAACTATCAAGTTTTATTAAAAGGCCTCAGCTTCCGTGTGTGGTTAGCTCACTTTATCAGATCAAAAAGACATCTGATGGAGTGAGCTACAGCTCACAAAAGCTTATATACAGTATATATATTTTAATAAAACTTGTTAATCAGAAAAGTGCTATCAGATTCCTGATTTATAGAGAATGCTGAAACTTCAGTAATGTTGCTTGGATTCTCTTTTCTGAACAATCCAGGAAAAACCGCTTTTGTAACTACCACTTTCAGATGGAGAAATAGAAAGAGGTTGAGGAAATATACAGGAAATAAAATGTTGAACTTAGAGTCACTAGGAGTCAGTCTCTGCCTGGTTAGTTGTCTGTGCTCTCTTGTTGGCCTCAGATATAGAATAGAACCAGTAAACTATACTGAAGTCTCTCCTACTGGTTTCAAACCTCTGAAGCACCCATTGCGGTCCCATTGGTGAGCATCCTCCTTCAGATCCCAGGAAGCTCTGCAACAGTCCTGTTGCCATGGCAGTGCAGTAGACTTCTTTCCCCCCATTCTTTTCCCCCTCTTCTTTCACAGATTAGCCAACTGCAACTGCCTGCCATCTCTCCCTGTTGGTCCTAGGGTCTCTGGAATGAGCCAGCTGCTACCACCATCACCTTGTTGAGTCCTGTGATTAAGGCCTCAGAAAGGTGGTCTCGTACAAAAGAGAAACCTACCCTGTAAGGAGCCATTAATTCCTCTGAACAGGGTAGCCAGAAGGATGGCAGCAGAATGTCCACATTCCAGCTGTTTCAGAAGCAGAAGAGATGATATCTCTGCCTTTCTTAATTGATTATGTTGTGAATCTTGGACTTAGAGCAAAAACTTATTTTAACATGCCAATCAACATACAGGTCCCTGCTGATTTTCAACTACAAATAGAATTAATCAGATATAATATTCTTCACATTAGCTAGCAGGCTTCCACAGTCAGATACTCTGTGAAGAAAGAATATCGTTTTTGCTAAAAGCAATTTCATTGTTAAATGACTCAGGAATAGTCACTTGCTGCCTTCCAACATCCTTGCAGAAAGTATTCCTGAATGTTGCACTTGATTTTTAGTGTAGCAAGAAAAGTATGTGACGGGCTAATAAAACATGGCATAACTTTACATTTAATGGAACTTTCCCAAGAGATCTGCTTGCTTAGCATGCAACCCTGGGTAGGGTTATACAAGAGGCAGATAGCAGTATGTCAGAAAGGAGTATGATGGAGCTTTGGTTGCACATGTTCTCCCCTCCCCCCCCATCATCTCTTATCAAAATGTTGAAAATAATGCACAATCCAGCAAAACCTGCTTGACAAGTTCCTTATGTCTACTCTCTGCAAGTCAGTTCTGCCCTATCCTGTTCACCTCTGAAGTTTTTTTTTAATAGCTCAGTATAATATCTTTTATATTTAATACAGTATTTCCTGTCCCCTCCCTCTTCTCACTGACTTAATAAGTGAGAGAAATAACCAGGCATGACTAAATTTTAATTTATACTGTGCTCCCATCTTAAGCTGCCATTTTGGTGAGTGTTTTCATCTTCCAAACATTGGGTCCACACAATACGTGCCAATGAATTGGTTGCTGAGAAAGCCTTCTTTTTAAAAAGTTGCCAGCTTGGCTTTTCTCCAAAGATTGATGGAATTGCTTTTGCAACAATCTGGATCCTTGCCAAGCCTATGGGCATGAAGAGCTTGTTTCTGAACTTGAGTATTCTTTGGCTGCTAGCTTCTGGTAAAAGTCCACTAAAAGAGATCTCTAATAAACTACAAATGCTTGGAAAGAAATGAAGGTGGGTAGGGATTTCCCCTCCCTGGTCATATGAAGGGCTTAGTTTAAACATCAATCTCAAAAGAAAAGTGATTGAGCTATATGCTATGAGCTTGACACAGAAGGTGTTGGAGTTGTTCTACCTGCCGGACCTGTTGATTTCTATTGCACATATTTAGATGATTTGTAATCTGCTTCATATATAGCTGAACCTTTAAAAGTATTCACACACTTTTTTTGTTTTTGCAGCTCAATTATATTTCTGTCAGTTCACACATATATGTAGATTAATCATCATTCTGTTTTAAGCATATCATTCGCCTGAAGGGGCAATTAAAAGAGCAGTGGAGCGGCACTACTGGTCTAGTTCTGGAAGCCACACGGTTTTCCACCGGTGCCCATTGTCATCCACGCATTGTGGGCAGATGTCTGCAAGTCAAAAGCCTCTACACAGCAGTCTCAGTCAGTGGGGAAACCACATAACCGTATAGCCAAATAATGTCCATCTGAATAAAGTCTGTACCACTGATTACAGATTATTATCCCGGGTAAAACTGACGCCATCTCAAGCTGAAAACTGCAGATTCCCGTTTACAGAAGAAAACAGCAGTTCCTCTCCTCCTCCTCCTTTCCCTAATAACGTTTAGGAAGATACGAGTTCTTTCCAGCCCTGTTCCATTTCTTTGATAGCCACCTGTGGGAGGCAGGTTTGCATACTTAGTTCCTGGCTTTCAAATCTGGCTTGTTAGAATGGGAAAAAGCCAGAATTCCCCAGCTGCACATCACATTAAAATAAACTAATGGAAGGAATTGTGCTGTGGTTTGTTTAATCGTTCCCTGTGGCAGGAGGAGCAAAGTTGGAGGGATTGAACTCATTCACACGAGGCCAGAATTCTTCAGAATGCAGCCACTATGAAAAAGTTAACTAATATATAATCTAGACTAAGCAAGTCAAAATGCACTTCCACATTGCTGTTTCCACCCCTCAATCCCTTAAAGAGGTTTGAAGTGACCCACAACTATCCTCACTGCTGCTGCCTCTCAAAATGTTGCAAAACCTTAAGCCAATCAGCGTTCCCTTCAGCTGATCAACCAGCGAGCGCCAAAAACCGTATTCGGCCAGTGCCTCATCTCCCCTTCACATTTTTCTTTGTCTGTTGTATGTATTTGGCTGGTGATTTCTGAAAAAATTAGAAAGTTAGCTGGCTAAGTGGGGGAGCTGTAAAGCCACTAAGACTTTGCCCTTTGGTGCTTTTAAAAAAGGGGATAATAGTGCATCGATCCGAAGCATTGACAGCTGATTCTCTGTGGGGAGGAGGGAGATGCTAGATTGAGCTAAGGAATTTGGAGGCAGGGTGACATGAGAATTCCTGTCAGTGAAAAATTGACAAGTCTTCCAGAGCTCTCAGCCCAACAAAAGAGAAACCATTTTAAGTGTGATTTCATATACTCTGCAGCCCAGCCAGATAGACATCAGCTCAGCTTTCAACTCTTGCCAATGTTGTGGAATTACAAAAGTCTTCAGACTGGTGCAGAGTTCACATTTGAAGGTGTCTTCAGTTACCCTAACAGTCCAAATCTAAGCCTTCTGGTAAGGAGGCTTCACTAGGTTGGATTTAATTTTGAATAAACATGGTTGACTATTCAGGCTGGGAATGATGGAGTTTGCAACTCTATATATCAGGTTGGAGAAGGGTCCTATAAATCATACAGGAATATGAATTTATCTCAAAGTAGGGTGTCAACAGTAGCATTTTCCTCCTTATGGAGCACTGTTGAATTTAAACACTTCAGCCAGGCTAAAGGAATATTTCTATAGCACCTTAATATGCATAAAAGCAATGGATTCCATTTTACTTTACAGGAGAGAAGTGATATATCCAAGCTATTGTTCAGCATAAGATTTGTAAATGTAATCTATAGTTCCTAATAAATGCTTTACTTGTGATTTAATTGTGTGGTCTTCTAGGAAGCCGTACAAGTATTGATTAAGCATTCAGCTGACGTCAATGCCCGAGACAAGAACTGGCAGACACCCCTACATGTCGCAGCTGCAAATAAAGCTGTGAAGTGTGCTGAAGTGATCATTCCACTTCTGAGTAGTGTCAACGTCTCCGACAGAGGAGGTCGGACAGCATTACACCACGCAGCTCTGAATGGCCATGTTGAAGTGAGTGGTTTAATAGCATTGTTCTTCTACCTTGAAACCTGTCTTGTCAATGGCAAAATCATTTCCCTTTATGCTACACATGATGTGAGCTGAACACCAGAACCAGAATTGTTCTTCTGATCCACATCTAATGAATTGAGTAAATGAATTTTGAAATTTTGAAATGATTTAATAAATAAAAGTAAATACATCTGTGAAGTATGAATCTACATTAAGTCAGTTATCGCATGGTCTATAACTATTGACTGACATGCATTTGGGGGTTATTTGCTTGTTTTAGATGGTGAATTTGCTTTTGGCTAAAGGGGCAAACATTAATGCCTTTGACAAAAAGGACCGAAGAGCTTTACACTGGGCAGCATACAAGGGTAAGAGAGTTTATTTTTTACTTAATATCTGTAACATGATTGGCAATAAGTAGTAATAGTCATCATCTTCATCATAATACTCAAGATCTTTCCTTTAATATTTCTTGTAGTGCTTTTGATTTCTTCTATTGTTTGATATGTTCTTCTAATGCTGATGTTCACTAATTTCTTTCTGTTGATATCTTTGTCTTAGGGTTAAATACATTCCTTTACAGCGTTTGTATCATATTATAAGGAGAAAAAAATTAAATGTCTCTAAATTAAAAATAATATTTGGCCACCACTCATTTAAATGTATTTCAAATATTTCAAACTAAAATGGTTTTTTTAACTGTTGTATTGGTCAGAGATCATGCAGTGATAAATGAAATATGCATTAGAGCCATTGGAAATAAATAAATAAATAAATAAATAAATAAATAAATAAATAAATAAATCTGTGTGTGTGTGTGACTGACTGACTGATAACTTTCAAGGAGAAAGGAAAATCAAGATAGTGTTTTTTATAATCTGATACAGATATATAATTTGTCCAAAAGATTTTGATACCCTTAAAGCAAAAAAGAATTAAAAGGAACATTTTATGTGGGTCAAGCTGAAGTTGACATATGTTATCAACAATTTGAATTTTTTAAGAAGAACCGTCAAAGATCTTAACTTTGTGAAAAATCATGATTTTTTTTTTAGTATGTTGAATGGCAAGTAGAAATGGGATCCTATCTTTGAACTGAACCATATCTATAATTTATATCAGAGAGAGCATATAATTTATTACGTGCAGAACTTCATCTTACAAGATAGGCCAAGGAAGCAATTCTTTAGAAATATTGCTTTCAGTTATCTCTTCTGATCAAGAAACCATGTGTATTACTGGAAGACTCTTACCCTTTGGTAACTTACAAAAGAGCTCTGTACACGTTGGCTGAAAGGCAACAATGTGCAAAGCATATGGAAAAATCAAGGGCATTAATATATGGAACTCAACTTTTAGATTTAACAACTATATTGTACTGCACTTTTGCTGTTCTGTTAATTGACACTTTTTCTTTGTGAAGTTTTGTGGGCAAAATCTGTCTGAAAATGGTTAGGGCCAGTTTGGGTTGGCCCTCAACATGGGTTGAGTCTGGTGAGATTGATGTCAGGTTCAGCCCAAAGAATTCCAAGAGACAATGCAAATACAGTTCTGTTGCGTTTATTAGCTTCCACCTCAATACAGAATCTCACCAGG